TTTTTGGGGAAGTATTGCCTTGGGCTAATACCAGTGCTCATTTCCCCTGTGTTGCTGAAGACAATGAAGACTAAGACTGTGTGGCTTTGGGATGCCCTTAATCGCCAGCACTGTCAGACAGGTTTGAAGCAGCTTGGCAAACATCTGATTCCCTTGTAAATGTAAGGCTTCATACACAAAACCTCACAATTCCATTCCTGCCCATGGGCACTGAATTATTTTTCTTTAAAATTCAAAGGAACAGAAAAACTGACAAAAAGTTTCCTTTCAAAAGCATGGTTAAGCCATGAATGTTTCCTGTCAAAATCCTAAAGCACAAGCCTGAAAATTAAATTCATGTTGTCCCGTGTTGAAATTTTGAGACTTAAGCTAGCTTTATTCTTTATATTTTGTGGAATTCAGCAGTATTATTTGAAATGCAGCTGTTCTGTATGCACAAAACCATGAGAGCTTCTCAGAAAATATTGGAAACAGTTAATATTTTATTAGATTTGGAAATAAAATTGATCAGTGCTGTCTCTCCAGTAACACTTACTGCAGTTATAGACAGAAGGTTAAAAAAAAAGCATGAAGATGGAATTCTCACCAGGATTTTGCATCCGTGTATAGGAACTGTTGGATATATGGTCACATATACAACCTGCAGCTTTTACGGACACCTCAGATTTGACTGTTATCTGTAGCACTGCGTATATGATCAAAATTGAAGATAAGACATTCAGATACAGCAGTCTCTGCTTGGTGCAGTCTGGCAAACACCTCTAGCCAGACAGGTTTTAATCCTCTTTCCCTCACTGCTTTGTTCTGTGAATTCAAGACATGATACTGAAAGAATCTGAACTGTTTTGGCATAGGAAGATTTAGAAAGACATCATCATCGTTACAGCTCAGCTAATATTGGAGAGAAAGACTGTATGTAAATTTAACAAAATGTGAATTTCTTCTGAGTGGAGGTTGTGAATGTAGGAGGTGTGCAAACAGAACAGTGGTGGATGGTCACCAGACAGCGCATCTAAATACAGATTTCAGAATGATTGCAAGACAGCAAACATCACTTCCAAAATAGCTATTATTTGTGTTGGAAATGTGCTTTGGACATCTATGTTTGGTGGTTTTTTTTTTCACTTGGGAAATAAAAGATTAAAATATTATTAGATGGTAGCCAGACAAAACTAATAACAGCATTCAAGTAGAACAAGCCCCTCATAAACAGGCTAATAATTATTTGTGGAGGATATTCACCAAATTACTTAAACTAAAGGAAAGGATGATCTGTTTCTGACAGATTGTGGGCAGTGTGGTTTCATGCACGTATTTGACTCCTGACAGATGAATTCATTCTGGCGTGAGATGAAATCTATTAGGAAATTGGCTACACAAGTAAAAGTCCACATTCCATTTCCTTTAGGGTTGCTAAGCACAACAATTACTGCCCTCAGTGGTGAGGCAAGCACTTAAATTAATAAATGTCCTATTAATAAGTACACTATACACAAAAATGTCTGAACTGGAAAAATACCAACTGTGCACATTACCAACAGGGCACGTAGCTATTAGGAAAAAAGTCAAAGGTTGTAGCACACCTAACGGTGAGAATTTAGTTTTTTCTTGAATCTACTTTTTCTATGTCAATAAGAAATCTTTCAGAAAAGCGGTGATGATGCATGAGCTTAAAAGCAGTATTTCTCCAGATGTTTGCACACTTGTATGTGGGTTTATGTGACTATAATTTCTTAAACTAAAATGAAGAAGCGTAACTGACTGTAACAAAACCAGTTCCATCAAATTACAGATTCTACAAATTCTTCAAACCAGGCAAATTCTAACTATCTCATCCTGGGTTTTTAATCTGACCTTGCCTTTTTCATGTGAAGCATCGTTGTTCTTGACTGGAAATTAAAGTCTGCTTTCTCCAGTTTTGAAGCCTCAAGAGTTTCCTATCTACATTAGTAAACTGTCTGCAGCTCAAACATCCACAGTCTTCTCCCCTGTTGCCACTCGAATATGGGAGAGGTGTTGTAAATTAAAAAGAAAAGCTATAAATTTGACTTGAAATTTTACCCTGAGTGCATCCTCAGGGTTACCTGTGTTTTACATTGCTTATACTGTAAGCCGCTTATTGCAAATTCAACTAAACATAATCCAACAGCAAATGTGTTAAGGCTTAGGGAGATGGGGAGGCTGTAGCATGATGCAAGTTACAGAAAGTAACAAGCCTTCTGCCAAATGTAGCTCTCACTGCAGAGTCCTTGGAACACAGTCCTCAGACACCCTGGTCTTCATTAAACAAACACAACTTTTTGTTGTTGTGATACATGGTTGATATTTTTATGCACAGTGTAAGACAGGGGCCTAGTGTGGATCTCTGGTGTGAGTGTGTGTGCCTGTAAGGGCAGCAAGAGAAATCAGAGACTGACAGAGTTAAAATTTCTGGGATGAGGGTCGAGCAGAGCCGTATCAGACAGGGTTAGCCCCAGGCAGCTATCTTTCACACACACACTGGGCAAAAGACTTCCAAAAGCCTGCAAGGAGCTGGATGTCCTATCCCTAATTTGAAACCAGTCTTAGTTGGATACTAATTGTTCTTGGCCCCTTGAAAGCCTCTTTGGGTTGACTACCTTGGACACTGAAGAGGCTTGATTGATGTGGTTGTGCAGGGCATCATCATCATCATCATCATAGGAGAAAGGAGGACAGGAGGTTTGAAGGCTTAGATGCCTCCTCGTTCTCTTGTAGCACCACTGGCAGAGGTGCACCAGTCTCTGCTAAGCAGTGCCCTCGGACACCACCTGATCTAGACAAGCAGAGGTCCAGCCGACTGCTGGAGATACTGCCATACAAGTCTTTGACATTTGGAGTTCTAGGCTTTAGTGAAACATTGCAGGCCTGGAACATGTTAACAGCTGCACAAATCCTGCAATATTAAACATATGCAGAGTTAAAAGAACATGCTATTAAGAAAAAAAAAGTCTTGTTTTCAGTGTAATTCTCTAGGTGAGCAACACCATCCTCCAAGTAAAATAACGTTGTTACTATGCATACATAACGCACTTATTTTCCTTTAAAATATGAGAGCATAAACCTTGCAGAAAGGAAGAGTTTAAGTACCCAGCAACAAAGACTTTTTGATAAATATCCTTTAGATTTTTATGAATGTCCCATTGATTACAAGATACAGCCAGTAGGGAAAGCTGATAGTCTTGCCTTGCACAGCCATGTACCTGTAGGAAACGTTGGTGGAATTTTAATGTAAAATGCTGATTTAGTAGTTTCCTGCTTACGTAGCAGAGGCTCCAATGATCCTGGAAGGCAAGCTCAGAGCAGAAGGTGGTCAGGGTTATCCATATTCTGATGTTACTGGTCATCTGAATCTGAGGGAGTCACTTAAAATCTGTGCTTGTATTTTACTCACCAGTGAGCCTGACATTTCTTTGCAGAGGCAGTGCAAAATGAATCAAAATTTTATCACATGCTTTGAAATCCTCAGATAAAAGGCACTGCAACATTGCAAAATATTTCATGGACAGGACCATCCAAGGTGAGATCTGCCTCCTTTTTATGAAACTTCTTTCAAAGACCAGAAACTACTCCAAGGTGAAATAGCGCAATGAAACAAGATGAACCCACGGTTTCCTACATGCTTATGATCTGTAACATCACAGGAAGCTGAATGAATCAGATACTTCTACTCAGAAGGCCTGGAAATGAAAGCCAGGGTTTTTTCATTTGACCAAGCCAAGCTTTTGTGGTCTTTGCACTGAGCACATGAATATACTCTCTAGAAGGATCACTTTGAGAGGAGCCTAATGATTTTTATTGTAAAGCTCATCCCAAAGGCTGACACAGAAGAGGCATAGAAAATGCAAACCACCCCTGAGCTTCGTCAGAGCACTGATCACGAGGTGAGACCTGTGCAGACTAACAGTTCACACTTGACCCCCCCAGGAAAGCTCACCTCTCAAATACAAAGAGCTGTCCTGCTGGCACAAGTAAGGTGGTATTTTCCCACGTTTTGCTAAATGGTCTGTTGGGGCTGCTTTTCGGTAGCTAGTACTTGTAAAATTAACACGTACTTTGGAATGTTTGTGGAGTATCGATGGCTGCCCAGTCTTGTTTGCAAAGGCCACTCTTTTAATTTAACCGAGTCTTAAGAAATGTTGAGTATTTGTTTCTTTGTCTGCTGATGCATCTTGTATTGGAACCTGGTAAATGCACTAAGTATTTTCATATCCATGGAAGAAATCACAAAGATTAAAGTGCACTGAGCTCACCATGCTCAGCAGCTTTGCTTGTACTGGTACAGTCTTTCTTACATGTTTCATATTCATTTTGATGTGTTCTCTCTTGGATCCACTTGCGTTAAGTCTTGTTAATTAACAGCAGTTAGACTTCTGCATATTGACAGAAGGGTAAAGCTGCCACGCATTTTTGGTGTGTCATGACTGGGGGTCTGGAAATTATTGCTGGAAAAAAAGCACTATAAAAAGTTGTGACATACGAGTGGCATCCAATTGTGAAATGCTGCATTTTTTTTACTTGTATGTAGCTATGGAGGTACTTTGTTTCATGCCTCAAAAAGAAGTTGGTAATCTGTGTTAAGAAAGCTATAGAGTATGCTACTGCAAGTATTGGGGTATTACGGATAAATCAATGGTGTATCCTCATCTTGACTGCTGTGTCTAATTTTGGCCTCCCTCTTAGAAAGGACACAGCAGGAACAGAAAAGCTGTAGAAAGGATGGGAGAAATTATTAACAGCACGCATGAAAATCGACTCAGAATAGTGACTAGATTTTAAGGAAAACAGAGGAGGGATAACACGGGCAAATAAGATACTGGTTTGGAAAGTGTCAACTACCCTTCCCCGTAAGACAGTAAGAAGGGTACTAGGCAGATCGCGAAAAGCCAGCAGAAATCACCGGGGCCGTGAGCCCGGCTAGCTCCGGGAATCCCTGGCGCACCGGCGGCGGCAGGAGCCGCGGCGGCAGGAGCCGTGGCAGCATCCGCATTACGCGCCAGGCTCGCTGCCTGCTCTGCCTGAGCGGCGGTGCTCGGGAAGCTCAGCCCCGGAGCCAGGCACACCGCGAACTGACGCTCCGAGGCTGGACCGCGGGGCAGGAGCCGACCGGAGCGGGGCGGGGGGAACTTCCGCAAGGCGACCCTCACCGCGGCGTCCGGGCGCCATCTCCGCCTCGACCCGGGGTAGTGAGGGGGGGCGGCCCCGGGAGCCCTGGGGGCGGTCGTGGGGGGGCTGTGCCGGTGACGTCGGGTTTGCAGCAGCCCCGAGCGGCAGCGGGCGGGCGAGCCCGCCGCCCGGTGCTGCGGCAGACGGCGGCGGAGCCGGGAGTCGTACCGGGGGAGCTCCGCCGAGGAGGGCTCCGGCGGCGCCAGGATGTAGGCGCGGGGCGGCGGGGAGCTGCCGCCGGTGACGGGCTCGCCATGAAGAAGCACTCGGCCAGGGTGGCCCCCCTCAGCGCTTGCAACAGCCCCGTCCTCACCCTCACCAAAGTGGAAGGTAAACGACGGCGCTGGGAGCGAGACGGGGAGACCGGGTACCGCGATGGGGGATGATGCTCCGGGGAGACCGCGTACCGCAACGGGGTGATGCCCAGCTGCGGGGGAGCTGCGCGACCCTAGGGTCCCCGCTGCCCACACAAGGGTCGCGCAGCTCCCCCGCAGCAGGGCATCATCGGCATCCATCCGTGTCCCCCGCCGCTCTCTGCTCCGTTTCTTTCCTCCCCCACGCTCCAGAGTCCGAGCTCCTCTCCTGGAGCTCTCCTCGGGGCCCTGGAGCACCGCCCGAGCCCCTGGACAAGTACGTGCCAGGCGGGACCCTTCGGGGAAGGAGGGAGGAAGCTGAACAGATTTACCCTCCCCCATGGGAACACAGTCCCGTGTCCCAGCCATCTCTCCTCATCTCTAATCCAGGTGCGTTGAGCTGGGGAATGAAATCAAAAGAGTCATAGAACCAAAGAGGTTAGAAAAGACTTTTAAGATCATCAAGGCCAACCTTTAGCCCAGGACTGCCAAGTCTGCCACTAAACTATATCATGGAGGAACATTAGGAGCCCAGCAGTAGTGAGGGGTTGGCAGACCTTCAGGAATCATTGGAAACTTTCAGAGATCATGGCTGGGTACTTTGAAAAGGGCAGTGATGTGCTCAGGAGGGTTTTCCAGAGAGTTCTGAAGCTCTGGGTGTAGCTGGTGGTGAGGTCTGGGGTGAGGAGCTGCTATCTTGGGTAGAAACCTATAGGCCATGGCCTAAAAGAGGCAGAACGGGTGAGGTGGAGGGGATGATGTGGAGGCAGTAGGGTGCAGGTCAGGAAGAGGAGCCCTTTTGAGGAGTAGATACAGACATCAGTTCCTGAAGGAAGGAAAAAGAGGAAGCCACTGGATTGAGGGATCCACGGGGGAATGTGGTAGTTGGTTGAGAGAATGGGATTGATGAGAGGAAAAATATTGCCTGAGAGGAATAGAGGGAGGAGAGGGAGAAAGGGATGAGCAAGATGAGGTAAAGAGGAAGAATGACTCAAAAAAGAAAGTTATTGAACAGTAAGAGATAAAGTACAAACTTGAGACTCCATAGAAAGCTCACGAAGGAGAAAAAAAAATAATATTGAAAAACTGAGGAACAAAGAAAGGAAAAGAAGACATGCCAGCAATAGCTCTGTGGAGGAGAACGTGAGAACATGCAGAAATGCCTGAGAGGGGGAAAGGAACTGAAATCAGAAAGGAAAATTGGAAAATCAGGAGTACCTGAAGGTTGTTATTTCAGTTCATGGAGAACACAGCTGTTGCATTCCCCCAACATAAAAAGCACCTGCTGTAGAGATAGGAAAAGGGATCTCGGTTTTCTGACCAGAAGAAGAACAGGCCTGATCTTCATTACACTATAATTAGAATTTAAAAAAAGCCCTTGGATTTAGCCTTGTGCATAGTAGAGGGCTTCTCTCAAGGTTTGAATTGGAGGTTCCTCTGGGTACGGAGCATGTCTTCCTTCCTTTTGGTGCACTGCACATGCTTTATGAATCATAAATAATAATAACCCACCAGGTCCCAGCTTTGAAATGTGGGTCATCTCATTCCTCTTCTAATGGTTCAAATACAGTTTATTACCTACCTTTTATAGAAACAGAACCACTGCAATCTTTCCCTATGCCATAAAATTGAATCCTTTCAAACATTTCCATGTCAGCTCTGCATACCAGCTCTCAGACACCCTATTGCCACTCACCAGGGACTTTGTTGACCTAGTTGGACTTTTCATTCATTATTTGAGACTGTTTTTTCCCTTATCATCAGTGGCAAAATCTAAATTGCCTTGATGGTGTATGATAGGGCCCAGAGGTTGTACAGAGGCAGGTAAGAGTTTTCTTTGCTGTCTGCTTCCTTTTAATGAAACAGACTGACTTTGAGAGCTTCTTTTTCCACATCGACAACATTTCCTTTCAGACTAATATTGACTAATTTTGACAGCTGCTGTTTAGAGCCTGGCTGAAAAAGCCAAGCGTAGTTACAGGCAAAAATAAAGTGAGGCAGTGGGCACACTGTGCACTGCTTGCTTCCGTCGATCTGACTGCCAGACCTCTGGTAAAGATTTGCTTTCCTAAACTTCTCTGGTAGCCGAAGTCCCCTGCAAAGGCATAGCCAGTGCTGCAAATACAAGGTAACAAAAACTTTCTTCTGCTTTGCAGTTATGATTATTTTCTCTCCTATCAGCCATCATCAAAGCATTTCAAGGATCTCTGGCAGAACCACTAGGAATATGTGTCACTCTGGAATAGCTAGCCAAGAGGAGCCTTTCATTGATATGCATTGCTGTAAAGCCTTCCAGCAGTCCTTCTATTTTCCTGTTGGTGCAGTAACTTCTTTGCTTTAAAAGGGAGATAAGGACTTTGTGAGTCTTCACAAGCGTGACTGTCATTTTGAATTACTTCAGAGATTGAATCATCAGTATGCTCTGAGCCTGCTGTACCAGCACTTCCCAAGACGAGTGTATCTACATGCATCACCCAGGCAGGAAGTAACCATACCATGTGTTTTGTATGCCTGGCACCATTGCACACTCTTCGTATTTTGAGAAATGTAGGCTTGGTGCCTGATTTGTGCTTGTTCATCTTTCTGTTGTTGTTTTTCTCAGCAGTTTCTGTCCATACTGGAGGGGCCATTCCTCTCAGACCAGTCAGTTGACTGCTTTCACTCTGTTTGTACACGAAAGCACAGTGTACTTTGAAGGCTGATTTCCCTTCATTAGGAAAGTAAATATTTCACTCCCTGCTCTGCATCTTCCAGGGACACGTAACGTCAGCTTTCATGAGGAGCTGCCAGGAGCTATCTTTTCTGCCAGAGAAAAACCATCCTTCACTTAATTAGCCCATACTTAGAGCTACTTATTCCCAGGTTTCCAGCACCTAGGAAATGGTATTTCAGCCTCCCAATACAGCACATTTCCTCTGCACTGTTCTCTTGGGAAGAGTGACTGGTGATGTTCAAAGTTGCTTATAATGCAAATAATAACCTCTCTACTTTCAATTATTACACGTTAATGTCTAAACTGAGTTGCTGTGGAACCAGATTCTGCAACATGCTCAGCTGGAGTAACCTTGTCTGCATTGCTGGAGTTGCAGGGAATTATACAAGTACAAATGAGAAATGAGTTTGGCCTTTTAACATATTTGCATGCCTGCTGGGGAGTCATCACAAGCATATCAACACTGTAATCACTTTAAAAAAACCTCCTCTTTACCTCAGCAAGCACAAACTGAAGATCCCAAGCACAGCAAAAACTTTCATGAGTGGCAGTCTGATTCCTTAAGAGATGCAGTTCTTATTATCCTCATTTTGCAGACGGAGCAGCCGAGAAACTGCAGAATGAAGCAAGTTGCCTAAAACCAAGCAGCACGTCATTTCACTGAGCAGGCAAGAAAAGACTGACAGTAGATAGGAATGGACCCTCAAACTTCCCACACGTTTTCTTGGCCACGGGAGGGCACTGCCATGAATGGATGCAATATAGCAGGGACAAGACCTCTTTTACTGAAATCAGTGACTTCAGCTTCCTACTAAAACTTCCTTTTTGAGAGATAAGCTCAAGTGCTACATAAATATATCTCTGGATAAATACTGTGTAACTGTTAGCAGTGTTCTGCTGGTGGCATTGAAAGATTTTGGTAGTCAGGCAATACTTGTTTATACTTCGAGCACTTGGGCAGACAGTGTGAAAAATCACATCTGTTGAAGCAAGAATTGTGCCCACTGGTCTCTTTTATACAAGAGCTGTACATGACAGAAATATGCACTGCTTGTATGTTCTTGAAAGCAGAAGTAGCTGGAGAGCAGGAGAGGACTATGGCTCAGCCAGGGCATTTGGTTTGTGTGCACTTCCCCACTGAAGTGGCCTTCATGAGAAATGCATGCTGGCTTCTGTGCAGAGTAATAACTTGCAAAATGCTCGCTTTTGTTCAGTGTGAGCATTCACTATTAGGCCAGAGCATCAAACCCAGCTGGTGCTTGCTCCATAGTTGTGGTAGCAGCTTTTGCTGATTCCTGACCAGAGCTGCGATGGGATGAATGACCTAGGGGTGAAGGTAATGCTAACAAGTTTGCATGCAGCTACAGGAATGAACAGGAGTGTAAATTTGCTATGTGTCTGCTTCTCCATGATACCACCAGCATGAGCTGTGATATGACAGGGTGGCTTACTCCCCTGATGGAAAAACAGCGCCCTCTTCCATGTTTACTGGGGGTACTGACTGTTAAGTGCACATAGGCTGTAATTACACTCTGGCTTTGCCACAGGGCAACTTTTGCCCAAATTTCCTGTTCCTTGCAGTACTTTAAGTTAACACACCAGCATATCTGAGCAGATGTCCAAGCTCCTGTTCCAAAGGCGTGAGGAGTTTCTTGTTGCATAACACCTGGCTCCCTTCCCAAATGGCACCATGCTTTCTTAAGCTTTAAACAGCCTCAAAATGAGCTGTGCTAGGCTTACCCACTGGGGATTCCCACCAGCTCCTTTTGATCATGTCCCACCAGTTATTTCATATACTATCTCGCCTGTGCAAACTCATAAGCTATAGTTTGGAGGTGACTCATTACTTCTGCACTGTGTGTCCCCTCCCCAAATGATACAAAAATAAAATGAGACTATTTTAATGTTACTAAACAAATGCCAGGGCAGGAGCTTTTATGTATCACAAAGCTGGAAGATAAATTATTAAAGATGTATCCAAGGTTCCTTACTTTAGTGTCTGAAAAAAAGCCAACATGTACATGCTATGGACAAACAATAGTTTCATTTACAATGACAGAACTTACAGATAACAGCAACCTTGGATCATCTTCTCAGACTTTCTGTAGATCACAGACCATTATGTTTAACCCACTTGCCCCTAGATGAAGCAAGGTGCATTTTCTAGTCATCTTTAATCAATTTAGGCATTTGCTTTCAAAAAATCAGAAGGTTACTAATCCATCTATTTAATTACAGATTTCTCTCATGAGAAGTTGGAACAAGACATAGTAAAAAATAAATATTAAAACACCACAATGAATCATTTGTTGTCTCCCATTTTAATTTTATAATTCTCATTAAAGATATCTTGTCTGTCTTTCCCAATGGCTGGCATTTGTAAACAACAGGATTTGTAGCATAGGAACAGTGCAGCATAAAAGGCAGAGTTCAAACTAGTAGTTCAACATAAAAGTCTATGGCAGCTCAACATGTATTGCCCAGGAATCTCCCAGTTACAAGCCTCACATACAGCATTATTTATGTTGTAGCTTTCCTAGCACATTATACTCAGCACAGCACATTCACTTACGTACTAAGCAGCTCCCTCCACTTGGCTGGAGTACCATTGCCAGCCTTTAGTCTACAGCCCAGTTAATCTTTGTTAATTATAAACCATAAGATGCCACTGCAGACCTGGAGAACATCCCACAGAAGCAGGAATTTGTCCAATAAAAAAGTAGATTTACTTTACAATCTTCACTGAGTTTTGCTGGCAGCCACTACAGAATAAGATCAAACGCAACAGGAGCCAAGGTGTTTTTAGTGGTGCAGAAATGGCTTGCTTTTACACAGGGCTGCTCACCAACTGCATAGGTACCATGTACTGGAGAAGCCAGCTACCTTCTCTGATGTTAACTGCCCAGTTCCAGGAACCTGGCTCCACTCTAAATGGGCCTAATGCAGAGCATAATAACCTGGCATGGAAATTTTGTGAGTCCAACTCAAGACATGGATTTTTCCATAGGATCTAACACCCTTTGGTTATACACTGACTTTTCTTGAGGTAATAGGTACACATTTTACCTAGTATCATTACTTCTGGCCAAAACCTCCTCAAATGAAAAAAAAAAAAAAAAGTGATCCCTACAAGCCTTGTCATGGAGAAATACAGAATTGAAGAAGTATGATCTAGAGATGCCCTTTTCCACAGTCTCCTCAAGTTCCCTAATGCAAGTCTCAGCAAGGATGGTATTGTATTTATGGTTGACAAAGGTACTAGTCTATCTTCTATAGTGATTGAAACAAGTCAAGAATAGTGGGTTACAAAAGCCTGTGTCACTGAAAAGAGGAAAAGGCAAGTATCAGAGAGAATATAGAAACTAGGGTTTTTTTTTGCATTGGAAAGGAATATACATGAGTCTCAAGGCAGAAAATCAACTCTATCCCAACCAAAATCAGGACAGTAACATATTTTTGCTAGGAATTATACTGAGTGCCTTTGTGCCACCATGGGTCCAGCCAAACCTAGGTTTCTTATCAAAGGAGACCCAGCTTTTGCTAAACTTTCTGGTGAGAGGTGAAGAGCATCCTCTTCTTTCTTCTGGTAGATCTTTGAGCAGCAGAACGGAGGGAGCTTGTCTGGATTACATGTGCGTCACTCCAACCACTGTGAGCACGCTCAAGTCCATGTCAAGTCTATGCTAATATCTGGTTATTGGTTGACAAAGAGCAGATGCTCCAACAATCTTGTTCTGAATGCAGGACCTAAAAAAACATTGTGTTTGAGGTTCAATAGCAGGTTACCCCTTTAGCTTCAAAGAGATCAGTTGGAGTTAGAATTCGGTATGCAAGGAACCAATGGGCTATAGCAAAATCTTCTGTCTAAAATTGTGTTTACTTCAAAGCCAAGCAGCTCTGAATTTTGGAAAGCTCAATAAGGGAGAAAGAACATCATCTTGGTTTTGATAAAATGCAGCCAGCATAGCCTCCACAGTTAGCATAAATTCACTTACCTCTTAATATAAATACCTGAACATAGGTACTGATATAAATGTGCTATTTATATAAGTAGTTAGATTCCCTTAGAGATAAAACTATTACTCAAGAAAGACATGAGGCACTCAAATGCCTGGCTAATTAATACAGTAGTTTCCCTCAGAGAATTCAGTGGTTTTTTTCATCAGAACAGACAATCATCTCTCAGACCTTTGTTCAGAGTGAAGTTTGCACAGACTCTGATCAAAATTTGCCCAGAAGACTGTTCTGGTTGCAAGTTATTTTTGTTTTAATGGAAGTTCAGCTTCCATAGAGAGGCTGGTCTGCTCACACTAAATGGCAAAACTTCCAGTGACATTGCCAGGCAACTCACTGTTAGCTTCAGTCCAACTTTTATTCAAAAAGGGAATAAGGAGGAAAAAAAATATTTTTCCATGCTATCAAGAATATGTATCTCATAATCAGGATTATTCCTTACATGCTTTTACAGTTGTACTTTCCAGCGCCACAATGCTGGTACTGTAATAAGCACCCAATATCTTCCATTTTCACTCTGGATTCCAGTCATGAATCCTGATTAATAGTAAAAAAGACAGTATTTAGGGGAGCTCCCCACCCCATAAAATTCAAAGTTGGAATATCATAATTTAATGAGGCCCATTCAAATGCAGCTCTTTTAATAGAATTTCTAAGCAGTTGCCTCTGAAGATAAATTCAGTGGATTAAAGTCTAAATTGCTGTGGTATGGAGTTGATAATTTTTCAGCTCACTATCACTAGCAGGAATTAGAACATATATTTTGCAGGAAGCCTCACTGGAGTATTTGTCAGAGGAAGGAATGTATGTGTATGCTAAGGAGGAGAATTTAGCATATCTTCAGCAAATATGTGAGATTATTTAATTCCAACTATTAATAAGCTTAGGTATAATATTTGGTGCAAGATAAAACAGGAATTAATATATAATAACTATTAGGGATAGAAAACACTTTATCTGTGGTTAATAGTTTAGAATTTGGGTGTACCTGTTACATGAAACTTATGCCTGTTTTGTAGGAGTTAAGCTATAT